ATTTATCAAAGTCGCGGAGTGGATTTTGAGGCAAGAAGAAGTGGTATGACAGGACGAACGTACCGTAAATACCGAGTAAAACGAACGTGCTCTTAAGAGGGTTGGCAGCAGAGGTGGTTGGTAGGGGGGGGGCGCCTACTACTACTACTACTACTACTACTATTACTACTACTACTACTATTACTACTACTACCACTACCACTACCACTACTGCTACTGCTACGACTACGACTACGACTGCTGCTACTACTACTACTACTACTACTACTGCTAATACTATCACTACTACCACTACTGCTACGACTACTTCTCCTACTACTGCTAGTACGGCAACTGTCTGCGTTGCATCTCCTGTCAGCTGTTTCCAGCTGCTCTGTGCATTTCACCAGCTCGAGCACACTACGTCCACACAATCAAGAGCTACCCATCGGGCAAGTTCTGCGCAAGACGAACGTAGGTGCAGGCTTTGGAATGCAGGCTGTGAAGCCAGACCATGCGGCTGGACTCTTTGCCGCTGCATCATGTTGATGCTCCCCCTGGATGCGCATGGCATGCAAGCCTGGACGGTTTGTCAAGCTAAGGGTACCGTAGGACTCTTTCCAACGTTTGTTTCCTGCAACTCGTGAATCTGTCGAGAAGACCTTCGGGCTGCAACAAGCAGCCACGTGCACATGACGGCTGATATGGGACACACACAGCCTCAGGGTCTGGAGGACGAGAAGAAAAACCGCATCTGGAAAAAAGGGCCGCGCATATCACAGTAGTGGGACCAAAGGTCAAACGCATCGAGGGGTCCTTGACCTGACGGAAAAGCTTAGCTTCCTTCGCACAACTGCATCATGTCAAACCGACAGCAGAGAACAGGCCTGTGGCGGGCGGCGTATTGCCCTGCAGCGCCGAAGTACTTCCACAATGCTGCACCTGCAACGTGAAAGCGTGTGTAACTACAGTACACATGTTGCCACTGCCGTGCAAAACCACTTCCAAATCGCGACCTTCACGAATCCCCTCCCGGCAAACTCGAAACCGTCCGACTCTGAAGGCTCATTGAACAACGCAGTTTTGCTTGGAGTGGGAAGTGCAACCTTGGCATGAAACTGTCATCAATGAACAATTTTACCAGTAGGGGCCATAGGCGATCTCACCACCTTCGACAATACACAGGATCATGGGAGTGTGCAGCGAGCTCTGTTGTGGGCCGACACCAACATAAAGCTGCCACTGAGCAAGGCCTCGCATCTCCCGAACTCCCAGAACCTGAACGTGTCTCCTCGTTGAAGGCACAAGTGTCTGCTGTCGAATGTGCCAGGAAAACGGACAGACTGTAGCTGCTGCAGCTTCTCTCCCGGCCTCCAACAGCTCTCGTCCGGCTCAAGCAATTGTACATGCCTGCAGCACAATGCAGCACGTCGACGCAGCATCAAACGCTTCCTTTAGAAGAATCGGAAGTTGTGCACTGACCAGTGTCAGCCAAGATCTTGGATGTTCACGCTTTTGTCTGTTCCAACCCGAGAAACCCTGTAATCTCATTCGATTCCAATCACATAAATTACTTTCATGATCAACATCTTCGAGCAAAAAAAAGAATCTATGGAGCAGTCCATCGTGTTCAGTCGTGTCTTCCACAGTGAGGCGCTTAGGCAATCGGTGCATTTTTGCAGCGGAGAAGGTTTGGTTAGTTGACAAAGCCTTCGTCGTGTATGTCGAGACCGTGCATGCGCCCACCAGCGTAACGATTCGTGCAATACCCCTGTGCAGCCCCCAGTCCTGTGGTGTTCTGGCGGAAGCGATTGAGGCCGTAATGCTGGCCGAAAACAGCCTCCTGCGCATCAATCTCATCCACCAGCACCTTGCGCAAGCGTGGCCACAACTTTGCGACGGATGCCCTCGATGTGAGAGAATAGGCCAGGCAGACGGTGCAATTTGTCGGGTGAGGAATCTCGCCTCGACTAACGCAGAGCGGCAAAGTGCAAGGGCAAAACGCTGACTGCTGGCTCTGCAGCAACTCAGTGGTGTGCATCTAGCAATTCTGCTGACGGGCATCTGTATCTTGAGCAAGGTGCCCAAGAGCACACCAAGAGCCAGGCCTGCAAAGGGTCGCAATAGAAAACCACAGAAGCATCTCAAGTTCGGATGTGGCACAGGCTGTATTGCTTGACCACTGCCACCTGGCCTGCACCTGCGAAGGTAGTAAATGCAAACACTGAGGTGCCCTTCCGAAATTTTCGCAGCACGCTCCTGTCGAAAGTCAAAGTCGTTACTTGTAACACATGTGGATGCAACACTGCGCAAGTACGGATGGTTGGCCAAGTCAGGACTTGCTTGCTACCGACTCGCCACAGGCAAACATGGATTGCTCAGTACTGAATTATTGTCCTCGAGCTCCGTTCTGCTCCTACAGAAATGCCCATGTCCTGGCTGCACATGGCTAAATCCGCAAGCATGACCGGCTTCGAAATCGGCTCATCAGTACGGCATTCCTTCTTGATGAATGGGGCGATGACGACCTCGCATGTCCAACCAGGCACATAAGTCCAACCATCCGGCTGCACCAGCCTGCCTGCAGAAAGAACTGCACCAAGCCCAGAGGGACACCCTGAAAGCAGCGAGAGGATTCTTCAATGTATTCCTCACCTTGCTGATGACACTCCGACGAGTATCTTGCTGACAGGATCATCGCATCTGCCAGCTCCTTCGCACATCAGTCTGTGCCATCCAGAACATTGGCCATCCACACGGCTGCGCACATGATGCTGCATGAAAATAAACATGAAACGTTCTGTGCATGTGCACCACACCCACCACCCACTTTCGCTATGACTCTGCTGTGGTCCCCCGGACATTCTTGCTTTACCCCTCACGCTCTGCCGAGGCAGACCGAGATGGCAACATGCTCCGCTTGGACTCCGCTTACAGGTCGCGTCAAGCCGAGACATGCTGCCGATGAAGGGGCCGCCAGGACTGTGCAAAGCTTAGAACTCTTACGAAGCTGGAAAGCCTGCTGCCTTGAAATTGCCAGCCTTCTCAGCTAAGGTTCTAAGGTGATCTTCAAGTCTAGCTGTCCAAACCAAACTTCATCATCCACCGCACCCGTCCTTCTGATTGCGCGTGATGAACGTCACGCCATGCCTTACTTAGCACGGCAGGCATCGGTTGCGCATGGTTGCATGGATCCAACTGCCAAACCGCGCTATGCCGAGATTTCTGCTGCCTTGCAAGAAACTCACACACCTCGGCTCGGATGCTTGGCGAGATCGTGGTGATTTTCAAAACTCCAAGCTGGCATTCGGAAGGCCCCAGACAAAAGGCGACAGGAAGGCACAGAAGTGGCTGCAGCTTTGAAGGATGGTGCCGTAGCCTCAATCGCGCGAGTGTCTAACTTCGGCACAAGGCACAGCCTCGCGGGCGCGTTTCGTCTCTGGGATCTCTGCTTAGAAGACGCCATCTGGAGTTCAGGATGCGAATTTTCGCTGTCCACAAGGCTGAAGATCGAACCTGATGCTTCATTTGATGCGTACCCACTAGCTGGATTCTTGTGAAAAGCAGGACACAACACGATCATGCCAGGCCCAAGACACCCTCCAAGAACCTGATATCAAGCAGAGCAGAAGCCTTTCGCACTAGCTCCTTTCTGGAAAACAGTCTTGGGTCCCAGCAAGCTGAAGACACTGATGATCAGTGCGGCCTGCTGATATCTTCTCTCATCCAGATCTGTCAGCCGGCCCAATATGTGAAGCCGGTTGGGGCTTGAACTTTGCAGTGCAAAGGGATAGCGCATGTTCGTCTGCCAATCTGTCGGTTCGAGAGTGTGTAGGTGTAGAAGCTGAACAACTTGAAACCAGCAGCACCGACAAAGTGGTATGCGTTGGTACGCTCATCTACGAATTTCTGGCAACAAGGCTTCTGCTTCTTTCCCGATCATGTCTGCTTTAAAGACGAGTTCTCCTTACTTTGCTTGCCCCTGGGTGCTCTCTGCATTGTGCCTCTGAGCGCCCCAGGCTGGTGATCGTGGCAACTTCGTCTTGGACAACGCTTCTCAGCATCGTCGCCGGGGCCTCTGGCATGGCCAAAAAGTGCATCCAAGTGATCAAACGGTGTTGGAAGTGAAGGCTGGCAACCATCCGATATCTCAAGCCAGTGAACTGAAAAGCTGGGTTTTTGAATGGGTGGATAATGTAAGGTGCTTGCCAACATGACCGCCACTCCAACGAGGAAGGACAAGCCGTGGATCTGCCATGCAAAAGATACTCCCGACATGCTGGACTCAGACTCGCAGCATCGCAGCTCAACAGCAAACTCACGGGTCTTAGGATGTCCTAGGAGACACGAGTGCGCCGAGCAAACCTGACCTAATCAGTTATAATGCGAGGCAGGTGGTCGGAAGCGCGGCTCAAAGCTGCTGCCTGAAACTTCAATCGTGCCAATAGCCATCAATAACCTATGCTGCCACATGTGGAAGGTTCCGAGGCTTCAGCCCACAGGAAAGTCCCAAAGGCCAGCAGGAAGGCAAAAATAACACTCAGGCCTTAGATTCCAAGCATGCAGGTCAAGTTGACGTGACTGCAAGCTCGAGCTTGGTACCTGAGAGCTCGATGCTACTCCAGCCATTCGAGAGCCACCAACTGATGTAACCTCATTGCTGACGGTCTGCGCATGTCTAACAAAAATCATGGAACACGCCAGGTTGTCAGGAAGGGGTTCCGGCGCGCATAGCGATGCGTCTGACGAGCATTCTTGTTAAACGATGTTAAACTCATGCTGAGACCGGCTAGGTTCTGCAAGTGGCTGATCCAAGTTTCGGGTCGTGGTTCTGAATTGTTCATCATGTTCTAATCTGGCATTGTAAAAAGTTGTCTTCCAGGTCTTCCGGCACTCCAGTTGGGATTATCTTGCAGCCTGGAATCCCCCAGCATTGAACTAGCAGCGCCGCTTGCCGTGACTTGCATGAAAAGGAGTTACCACGACAGAAACAAAAACTCCACACCATAACAAGTAATATTGGCACCACGACAGAAAAACAACTTCACCATGACAGCGCATTGAAATTCTCACCACGACAAGGCATGAAAACCTCACCACGACAAGACATCAGCAGCAGCAGCAGCAGCAGCAGCAAAGCTGGACACATCATCAGCATCAGCACATGTCAGCACCACGACAAGGCACGAAAACCTGACCACGATGAGGCATGAAAGCCTCACCACGTTCAGGCATCAGCAGCAGCAGCAGCAGCACAACACGTCAGCAGCATCAGCACATACCAGCATCAGCGAATAACCATTTCGCCATTTTCAGAGCCCAAATCCTCCAAAATTGTGATTCCCCCACGTGTGGCGGTGGACAGCAGGGGGGGGGGGGGACGCAGGGGGAATCACCATTTTGCCATTTTCAGAGCCTAAAATCCTCCAAAATTGTGAGAATCACCACATTATCACCACTGTGCCATTTTCAGAGCCTAAACCTCGAAAATGGTGATTCCCCCGCGTGTCGCGGGGGAGAGGGGCGGGAACGCGTGGGAATCACCATTTGCCATTTTCAGAGGCCAAATCCTCGAAAATGGTGATTCCCAAGCGTTTGGCGGTGGAGAGGGGTGGAGACGCACGGGAATCACCATATTGCCTAAATCCTCCAAAATGGTGATTCCGGCGTGTGGCGGTGCAGAGGGGGGCGGACGCACGGGAATCACCATTTTGCCATTTTCAAAGCCTAAACCTCTAAAATGGTGATTCCCCCGCGTGTGGCGGTGGAGAGGGGGTGTCCTCCAAAAATGGTGATTCCCCGCGCGTGGCAATGGAGAGGGGGGGAAGAACGGGAATAATTATTTCGTCATTCTCAGAGCCTAAAATCCTCCAAAATGGT